AGGAAGGGATCCAGTTTCAGCTTTCTACATATGGCTAGCCAGTTTTTCCAGCACCATTTATTAAATAGGGAATCCTTTCCCCATTTCTTGTTTTTCTCAGGTTTGTCAAAGATCAGATGGCTGTAGATGTTGGTGTTACTTCTGAGGCCTCTGTTCTGTTCCATTGGTCTATCTCTTTGCTTTGGTACCAATACCACACTGTTTTGGTTACTGTAGCCTTGTAGTATAGTTTGAAGTTGAAGTCAGATAGTGTGATGCCTCCAGCTTTGTTCTTTTTGCTTAGGATTATCTTGGCAATGCGGGCTCTTTTTCGGTTCCATGTGAACTTTAAAGTAGTTTTTTCCATTTCTGTGAAGAAAGTCATTGGTAGCTTGATGGGGATGGCATTTAATCTATTACCTTGGGCGGTATGGCCATTTTCATGATATTGATTCTTCCTATCCATGAGCATGGAATGTTCTTCCATTTGTTTGTGTCCTCTTTTATTTCGTTGAGCAGTGGTTTGTAGTTCTCCTTGAAGAGGTCCTTCACATCCCTTGTAAGTTGGATTCCTAGGTATTTTATTCTCTTTCTAGCAATTGTGAATGGGAGTTCACTCACAATTTGGCTCTCCGTTTATCTCTTATTGGTGTAAAGGAATGCTTTTGATTTTTGCACATTGATTTTATATCCTAAGACTTTGCTGAAGTTGCTTATCAGCTTAAGGAGATTTTGGGCTGAGACGATGGGGTTTTCTAAACATACAATCATGTTATCTGCAAACTGGGACAATTTGACTTCCTCTTTTCCTAATTGAATACCCTTTATTTCTTTCTCTTACCTGATTGCCCTTGCCAGAACTTCCAACACTATGTTGCATAGGAGTGGTGAGAGAGTGCATCCCTGTCTTGTGCTAGTTTTCAAAGGGAATGCTTCCAGTTTTTGCCCATTCAGTATGATAACTGGCTGTGGGTTTGTCATAAATAGCTCTTATTATTTTGAGATATGTCCCATTGGTACCTAGTTTACTGAGAGTTTTTAGCACGAAGGGCTGTTGAATTTTGTCAAAGGCAAAATTTTCTGCATCTATCGAGATAATCGTGGTTTTTGTCGTTGGTTCTGTTTATGTGATGGATTACATTTATTGATTTGCATATGTTGAGCTAGCCTTGCATCCCAGGGATGAAGCCGACTTGATCATGGTGGATAAGCTTTTTGATGTGCTGCTGGATTCGATTTGCCAGTATTTTATTGAGGATTTTCGCATTGATGTTCATCAGGGATATTCGTCTAAAATTCTCTTTTTTTGTTTTGTCTGCCAGGCTGTGGTATCAGGATGATGTTGGCCTCATAAAATGAGTTAGGGAGGATTCCGTCTTTTTCTGTTGATTGGAATAGTTTCAGAAGGAATGGTACCAGCTTCTCTTTGTACCTCTGGTAGAATTCGGCTGTGAATCCATCTGGTCTTGCACTTTTTTTGGTTGGTAGGCTATTAATTATTGCCTCAATTTCAGAGCCTGTTATTGGTCTCTTCAGAGATTCAGCTTCTTCCTGGTTTAGTCTTGGAAGGGTGTATGTGTCCAGGAATTTATCCATTTCTTCTAGATTTTCTAGTTTATTTGCATAGAGGTGTTTATAGTATTCTGTCATGGTAGTTTGTATTTCTGTGGAATCAGAAAATAAAATATTGCATCTATTTGATTCTTCCCTCTTCTTCTTTATTAGTCTTGCTAGCAGTCTATCAATTTTGTTGATCTTTTTTAAAAAAACAGCTCCTGGATTCACTGATTTTTTTTGAAGGGTTTTTGTGTCTCTATCTCCTTTAGTTCTGCTGTGATCTTAGTTATTTCTTGCCTTCTGCTAGCTTTTGAATTTGTTTGCTTTTGCTTCTCTAGTTCTTTTAACTGTGAGTTAGGGTGTCAGTTTTAGATCTTTTCTACTTTCTCTTGTGGGCATTTAGTGCTATAAATTTCCCTCTACACACTACTTTAAATGTGTCCAGAGACTCTGGTACGTTGTGTCTTCGTTGTCATTGGTTTCAAATAACATCTTTGTTTCTGCCTTCATTTCGTTATTTACCCAGTAGTCATTCAGGAGCAGGTTGTTCAGTTGCCATGTAGTTGTGTGGTTTTGAGTGAGTTTCTTACTCCTGAGTTCTAATTTGATTGCATTGTGGTCTGAGAGACAGTTTGTTGTGATTTCTATTATTTTACATTTGCCGAGGAGTGCTTTACTTACAACTATGTGGTCAGTTTTGGAATAAGTGCGATGTGGTGCTGAGAAAAAGGTATATTCTGTTGATTTGGGGTAGAGAGTCTGTAGGTGTCTGTTAGGTCCGCTTGGTGCAGAGCTGAGTTCAATTGCTGGATATCCTTGTTAACTTTCTGTCTTGTTGGTATGTCTAATATTGACAGAGGGGTGTTAAAGTCTCATTATTATTGTGTGGGAGTCTAAGTCTCTTTGTAGTCTCTAAGGACTTGCTTTATGAATCTAGGTACTCCTGTATTGGGTGCATGTATATTTAGGATAGCTAGCTCTTCTTGTTAAATTGATCCCTTTACCATTATGTAATGGCCTTCTTTGTCTCTTTTGATCTTTGTTGGTTTAAGGTCTGTTTTATCAGAGACTAGGATTGCAACCCCTGCTTTTTTTTGCTTTCCATTTGCTTGATGGATCTTCCTCCATCCCTATATTTTGAGCCTCTGTGTGTCTCTGCACGTGAGATGGGTCTCCTGAAGATAGTACACTGATGGGTCTTGACTCTATCCAATTTGCCAGTCTGTGTCTTTTAATTGGGGCATTTAGCCCACTTACATTTAAAGTTAATATTGTTGTGCGTGAATTTGATCCTGTCATTATGATGTTAGCTGGTTATTTTGCCTGTTAGTTGATGCAGTTTCTTCCTAGTGTCGATGGTCTTTATACTTTGGCATGCTTTTGCAGTGACTGGTACTAGTTGTTCCTTTCCGTGTTTAGTGCTTCCTTCAGGAGCTCTTGTAAGGCAGGCCTGGTGGTGACAAAATCTTTCAGCATTTACTTGTCCAAAGGATTTTATTTCTCCTTCACTTATGAAGCTTAGTTTGGCTGGATATGAAATTCTGGGTTGAAAGTTCTTTTCTTTAAGAATGTTGAATATTGACCCCCACTCTCTTCTGGCTTGTAGAGTTTCTGCCAAGAGATCTGCTAGTAGTCCGATGGGCTCCTCTTTGTGGGTAACCCAACCTTTCTCTCTGGCTGCCCTTAACATTTTTTCCTTCATTTCAACCTTGATGAATCTGACAATTGTGTGTCTTGGAGTTGCTCTTCTCTAGGAGTATCGTTGTGGTGTTCTCTGTATTTCCTGAATTTGAAAGTTGACCTGCCTTGCTAGGTTGGGGAAGTTCTCCTGGATAATATCCTGAAGAGTGTTTTCCAACTTGATTCCATTCTCCCTGTCACTTTCAGGTATACCAATCAAATGTAGATTTGGTCTTTTCACATAGTCCCATATTTCTTGGAGGCTTTGTTTGTTTCTTTTTACTCTTTTTTCTCTAAACTTCTCTTCTCTCCTTATTTCATTAATTTGATCTTCAGTCACTGATACTCTTTCTTCCACTTGATCAAATCAGCTATTGAAGCTTGTGCATGCATCACGTAGTTCTCATGCCATGCTTTTCAGCTCCATCAGGTCATTTAAGATCTTCTCTATACTGTTTATTCTAGTTAGCCATTTGTCTAATCTTTTTTCAGGGTTCTTAGCTTCCTTGTGATGGGTTTGAACGTCCTCCTTTAGCTCGGAGAAGTTTGTTATTACCGACTTTCTGAAGCCTACTTCTGTCAGCTCGTCAAAGTCATTTTCCATCCAGTTTTGTTCTGAAACATTGCTGGGGAGCAATTGCAATCCTTTGGAAGAAAAGAGGTGTTCTGGTTTTTAGAATTTTCAGCTTTTCTGCTCTAATTTCTCCCCATCTTTGTGATTTTATCTACTTTTGGTCTTTGATACTGGTGACCTACAGATGGGGTTTTGGTGTGAATGTCCTTTTTGTTGATGTTGATGCTATTCCTTTCTGTTTGTTAAGTTTTCCTTCTAACAGTCAGGTCCCTTAGCTGCAGGTCTGTTGGAGTTTGTTGGAGGTCCACTCCAGACCCTGTTTGCCTGAGTATCACCAGCAGAGGCTGCAGAACAGCAAATATTGCTGCCTAATCCTTCCTCTGGAAGCTGCGTCCCAGAGGGGCACCCACCTGTATGAGGTGTCAGTCAGCCTCTACTGGGAGGTGTCTCCCAGTTAGGCTACATGGGGGTCAGGGACACACTTGAGGAGGCAGTCTGTCTGTTCTCAGAGCTCAAACACCATACTTGGAGAACCACTGCTCTCTTCAGAGCTGTCAGACAGGGATGTTTAAGTCTGTAGAAGTTTCTGCTGCCTTTTGTTCGCCATGCCCTGCCCACAGAGGTAGAGTCTACAGAGGCAGCAGCCCTGCAGAGCTGTGGTGGGCTCTGCCCAGTTTGAGCTTTGCTGGCTGCTTTGTTTACGTACTCAGGCTTCAGCAATGATGGACGACCATCACCCTGCCAGGCTGCTGCCTCACAGGTTGATCTCAGACTGCTGAGCTAGCAGTGAGCAAGGCTCCGTGGGCGTGGGACCTGCCGAGCCAGGCAGGGGATATAATCTCCTGGTGTGCCGTTTGCTAAGACCATTGGAAAAGCGCAGTATTTGGGCGGGAATGTCCCGATTTTCCAGGTATGGTCTGTCACGGCTTCCTTTGGCTAGGAGCGGGAGATCCCCTGACCCCTGGCGCTTCCTGAGTGAGGCGATGCCCCACCCTGCTTCAGCTCGCCCTCTGTGGGCTGCACCCACTGTCCAACCAGTCCCAGTGAGATGAACCAGGTACCTGAGTTGGAAATGCAGAAATCACCATCTTCTGCATTGATCATGCTGGGAGCTGCAGACCAGAGCTGTTCCTATTTGGCCATCTTGGAATGGAATCTTACTTGTTTTATTTATGTGTATATTTTTCTGAACCATTTCAAAGTGATTGGTAGCCATCATGAGACCTTAACCAAATCTCTTTGAAAAATAAAGGACATTCTCCCATATAACCACAGCATCATCATCACAATCATTGGTAAATCTTTATGTGTTTCTTTCCAGTCTTTTACACACATCAACACATACACAATCATATATTCCAACTTGTGAATGATTAGTTAACTTAGTAAATTCAACTTAAGAGTTGAAGTTAGAGTACTCACTTATTAACTGACATGTTCCATCTTCTCATTTCTGCTGTCACCACCCCACCTCCCTCCAGTGTATTCTGCCCACAGCAGCTAATCTTTTTAAAACATAAATCAAGTCTTATCACTCTCCTGCCTAAGTCATTCCAGGTTTCCTGTTCTGTATCGTGGCCTGACCCAGCCTCTGGCCTCCCTTGCTGATCTCATCTGCCAATTCCCTTGAGTCACACAATGTATTTTCAGTCCATTGAACACCTCCAGCTCTTTTCACCATGGTGCCTTCTGCTTAAAATTCTCTTGCCTCTTTTCATCCCTCAGACTTGGTAAAACATCTCTTCCTCAGGCCTGTAGCAACTGCACTATCTAAACAGGTCCCAAGTTAATTTCCTTCCTTGCCCCATTCATGTCTTTCATGATGCTTGCCAGTTTGTGCTTGCCCATGAATATCACCCTGCAGCTCAGGCCTGGTAAATAATAAGTTGAGTCTATACACTGGTTAGCTTTGCCTTCCTTTAACAGGAAATAAAAAATAGAATGGGCATGGTGGCTCATGCCCGTTATCCCAGCACTTTGGGAGGCCAAGGTGGGAGGATCACTTGGAGTTCCAGACCAGCCTGGTCAACACAGTGAGACCCTATCTCTTAAATTAAAAAAACAAAAACAAAAGCAAAAAAAGTAGAGAAAGAAAAAAAATAAATACAAAATAACATGCTTAACTTTGTATTTCTCTCTCAAGGAAATCCAAAAGCAGGCAGTCTCAGGCTGCTACGGTGGCTCTTAAGGACATCATAGATCCAGGCTCCTTTTATCTGTCTGCTTCACCATACTTAGCCAGAGAGGGTGATCTCATGGTATAAGATGACTGCTGGAGTACCAGCCATCCCACAAACATTCTGGAGAAGAGGAGGGAAAGAACAAAAAGAGGAAAGAGCAGACTTCCCACCTGAGTTGACTTTGTTTAAGGGTCCTTCCTAGAAGCACCCACACCACTTCTGCTCCTACCTCGCTGGCTGAAAGTTTATCACATGGCCATCCTTCATTTAAGGGAGGCAGGGAAATGTTGTTTTTATTCTACATGGCGGTGTGCCCAACTAAACATGTAGGGTTCTGTTAGTGTTGAGAAGGAGATAGTGGATATGAGGTGACAACCAGCAGACTCTGACCAGGTGTAGCTGGGTCAGAAATTGAAGACGGAATTTGGAAAAGCTGCCAGTACAGACATGACCTTGCTAGCTTATATGTAATGACATGTTCATAGTATTCTATTATAATTTATCTCAAATACCAGCTTTTGCTATCCTCCAGATTTTGAAATAAGCAACTTGTGTCCCATCTCTGCTTGAAACAGGTTCAACAAGAAACCTAAGAGGGGGATCCAGTTTCTCCAGGAGCAGGGCATGCTGGGAACGTCAATTGAAGATATAGCCCAATTCCTGCACCAGGAGGAGCGCCTGGATTCCGTAAGGCTGGGGGTGTAGCACTTGCATGTGAGTTCTGTCAGGTGATTGTGAGCCCTCACCAGTTTTAACCTCGAGATTGGCTGGCCCTGAGTACATTGTCTATTGTCCACCCCCTGGTTACAGCAGTCCTGCGTATCCCTGTGGCTAGTGTTGCAGAAAGCTCTTTGATGGGAATAAACTAGCCTCCCAGCAGGTGGCTGCATATTTGCTGGAAAAGTATCAGAGCTGGAAGTGTTCCTTGACTGCCAGAAACAGTTCTTCTGGCTGCCTCTCTACAACTAACCTCCTGAGTGTGCGCCATCATTCTCTCCATTTTAAGTCTGTTGTGCCTCCTCCTCTTCCTTCATCCATGCAGGACAGGCTGCTTCTGGAATGGGTGGGTGGGTGGACAGGTCAGGGAGTTCCCTATCTTTTTTAGCAGTCCAGCCTATTCTGGGCAGTTAGGGCCAGGCTATTCTGACTCCACCCTTTGGCTGCTGGGTTTTGCTGTGGGTTTGTATTTGACAATTTCCAGATATAAGTGAGTGTGTATGTTTTAGACCCAAGTAGGCGATTTTCTGGGAGATAGCACAAGGTTCAACAAGGAGGTGATGTATGCCTACGTGGACCAACTTGACTTCTGTGAAAAAGAATTTGTCTCAGCCCTGCGGACATTCCTAGAAGGTTTCCGCCTACCTGGGGAAGCCCAAAAGATTGACCGATTAATGGAGAAGTTTGCTGCAAGATACATAGAATGCAACCAAGGGTGAGCACTGATTTTGAGTCCCTCCCAGATCATCTGTTTGCCTGCCTCAGAACACTAATTTTAATTTGGTTGGGGTTTAATCTTTGTATATCTGTGCCAAGCAACTGAAGCGTTTGTTTACTGTGAGCCAGGCACTGTGCTAAGGGATTATTTCACGTAAGACCTCACAGCAATCTGTTTATGTCCCTATTCTATGGACAGAGAGATTGAGGACCAGAGAGGTTAACTTGCCTAAGATCACGCAGTTAAAGCCCATGCTGTTAGCAACTGTAAAAGAGTAGTTTCATAAGTTGAGAGGAGACAATTGGGCACCTCTTCCCTAATCAAAAACAGTTCCCCTGATTTAATATATGGGGTAGATCTCAAGGATATTGGTTTTTCTTTAATTACATACTGATGACAAGGTTACAGAAATAGCTACATAAGTAATAAAAACCATCAAAGTGCATGATTTTATCTGGGGACCTTTTTTGATGGGCGGTTCGTGATTTTGTAAGAAGTGGAAATAGGAAGAGGAACAAACCATTATTAAATACCCCCTGTGTATGGGCTATGCCGTGGGTTTTACATGCATTTAATTTAATGAATGGCAAGCCCAGGAATAGTATCCCTGTTTTACAGATGAGGAAATTGAGAATCTGAGAGATTAAGCAACCTGTCCAAAATTAATCAGCTAGTAAGGAGTAGAGCCAGGATTGAATATGGATTTCTGTAACTCAGAAGCTCATGTTTGGGCTGGACACAGTGGCTCTCGCCTACAATCCCAGCACTTTGGGACGCTAGAACGGGCAGATCACTTGAGGTCAGAAGTTTGAGACCAGCCTGGCCAATATGGTGAAACCACATCTCTTCCAAAAATACAAAAAAAAATTAGCTGGGTAATCCCAGCTACTCGGAGGCTGAGGCAGGACAATTGCTTGAACCTGGGAGGCAGAGGCTACAGTGAGCCAAGATTGCACCACTGCACACCAGCCTGGATGACAGAGGTAGATTCTGTCTCAAAGAAAAAAACTCATGTTCTCTCCACCGAACATTAAATTAGAAATATGTCGGCCGGGCGCGGTGGCTCACACCTGTAATCCCAGCACTTTGGGAGGCCAAGACGGGTGGATCACAAGATCAGGAGATCGAGACCATCTTGGCTAACACAGTGAAACCCCGTCTCTACTAAAAATACAAAAAAATTAGCTGGGCGTGGTAGTGGGTGCCTGTAGTCCCAGCTACTCGGAAGACTGAGGCAGGAGAATGGCGTGAACCTGGGAGGTGGAGCTTGCAGTGATCTGAGATCATGCCACTGCATTCCAGGCTGGGCAACAAAGCGAGACTCTGTCTCAAAAGAAAAAAAAATAAAAATAAAAAAATAAAGAAAGAAAGAAATATGTCTGAATATACTGTGACCATGATGTGGAAATTGTTCAGTAGAAACTATTTTTTTTGAGACAGAGGGTCTTGCTCTCTTGCCCTGGTTGGAGTACAGTGGCGTGATCACAGATCACTGCAGTCTGGATCTCCTGGGCTCGATCAGTCCTCCCACCTCAGCCTCCTGAACTGCTGGGACTACAGGTGCATGCCACTGTGCCTGGCTAATTTTTTGTATCATATTTCTGCAGAGAGAGAGTTTCACCATGTTGCCCAGTCTGGTCTTGAACTCCTAGCCTCAAGGGATCCCCCTGCCTCGAACTCCCAAAGTGGGAGATTTACAAATGTGAGCTACCACACCTGGTTGAAACATTTTAATAACCGTTTTGCCTCTCCAGTCAACTTTGTGTTCATATTAATTGCTCCCAGTCTTCCAAGTATATGGCAGGCTGTCCCCAGGAGGTGGCAGGATTGGCAAAGGCAGCATATGATCATTTTAACCAAATGGACGTTAGAACTCTCTGTGAAGGCATAATTGGATGCTGTTTACTTTAAACGTATCTCTTATGTGGACCTGGAAGCCTTGGTCTGTTTTGCTTAGTTGGTCAATATGTGACCCAGTTTCATCTCATATTAAAATACCTTTGTTGTGTTCTTCAAAATTTCTACTGTTTCTGTTATGGACAGCTTGGACAGAACAGTTTCTAGCTTCAGCCTCATATTGTATGAGGCTGTGCATCCACATGTTGCTGTCCTTCTCTTCTTGACTAAGGCAAAAATGTCAGACTTCACCAGCATATTTTTTAGAACAACATAAATATTTTCCATGGTATTTCTACTGTTCAATGTTATAATGGATAATATAGACTATAACTAACAGCTAAACAGCAGTTTTAGTCATCTTTATATCTCATGTCTAGCACAGTGCATGGCACAAAATAGATGTTCTCTGGAACAGGACAGGGTGCGGGGAGGCACTCAAGGCACTTAGTGTGTGAAATGTGGTGAGTTGCCCTCTCAGGGTCGGCACCAAGTGTAAGATCTCCTGACCTGCTCACTTGCCTCGCCCTAGTCTTGGCCCCAGATGCTTCTTAGAGTCTTTTAAAAAAAATTATTTGAAATTGCTTTATTCAAAGAAGGCTAAATTTTTATTATTTATTTATTTATTTATTTATTTATTTATTTATTTTGAGACCGTCTCACTCTGTCACCCAGGTTGGAGTGCAGTAGCGCAGTCTCGGCTCACTGCAACCTTCACCTCCCAGTTTCAGGCGATTCTTCTGCCTCAGCCTCCTGAATAGCTGAAATTATGGGCAGCTGCCACCACTCCCAGCTAAGTTTTGTATTTTTAGTAGAGACGGGGTTTCACCATGTTGGCCAGGCTGGGCTCGAACTCCTGACCTCAGGTGATCCACCCACCTCTGCCTCCCAAAGTGCTGGGATGACAGGCCTGAGCCACCACGCCCTGCCAAAGAAGCCTAAAATTTGATACAGATTGTTAATGAGCTTTTTCTACACTCTGGGTTGCTAAGTCTTGTTCAGTGATGATGAAAGCGTAAAAACTCTTGCCTCATTTGGAATCAAGGGGAGTAATCGGCTGCTTTTCTCATGAAATGTGTCTCTGTTAGCATTGTATCTTCTAAACCTCATCACTATGAATATTGATATCTCGAATTTTTTTCTCCAGGCAAACTCTGTTTGCTAGTGCTGACACTGCTTATGTCCTAGCATATTCAATTATTATGCTAACTACAGACTTGCACAGTCCTCAGGTAAAGTAGTTCAATGATTTACATGTTGTAGTAGCTAAATAAGTGGCTTTACTTGGGCGATTGAATGTTTTTGAAATGGTTTTTAATTTTTTTTAAAATTACAGGTAAAAAATAAAATGACAAAAGAGCAGTATATTAAAATGAATCGGGGTATCAATGATAGTAAAGATCTGCCAGAAGAGTATCTCTCAAGCATCTATGAAGAGATAGAAGGCAAGAAAATTGCAATGAAAGAAACAAAAGAGCTCACGATTGCAACCAAATCTACTAAGCAGAGTAAGGTCTAATGGCAAATTATTTCTTTTAGTTCTAATTTGTTAGTGTATCAGAGTGCATGATTAGATACTCTGGTGATAAATTTAATGTGCATATCTAGATATCTGAATAGGAAATGTGATTGAACTAATTATTGTGATTATGTTAGGTCTTTTATCATGTCACTGTCTTGCTAGATTTCTGATGAGGAGCAAGAAGGAATTTGAAATTAGTAATCTGAGAACTAAATTACTCCCAAAAAGTGTTCCTTAAAACTTCACTTTAATTCAGTGGTGATTGTGCCCACCTTGATTAGAATTCTATTAGTTATGGCCCCTGGGGAGCTGTCAGTTTCACTGTTTGAGAAGCAGCAAAGGGTAGTGGTTTAGAGTGCAGGCTCTAGAGCCACACTGCCTTAGATCAAGTCCCAGCTCCTCTACTTAGTAATTGTATGACCCTGGGCAAGTGACTTACCTGCTCATTTTTCCCATCTGTTAAATGGTAATAATATTTGTAACGGATTCACGAGATGGTTGGGAGGATTTAGGAGTTAATCATTGTGTATCTTTTGAAACAGTGCATGGCATGTAGCCAGCCCTCAGTGATGGCTGGCCACACCTATCGTGCTCTTACTTTATAGATGTAGCTAGTGAAAAGCAGCGGCGGCTCCTGTACAACTTAGAGATGGAGCAAATGGCTAAAACAGCCAAAGCTCTGATGGAGGCTGTGAGCCATGCAAAAGCCCCATTTACGAGTGCCACTCACCTGGACCACGTCCGCCCAATGTTCAAAGTGAGTATCCTGAGAACTTAGCAAGCATGTGGCTAAGCCTGATTCTGAAGCTGGCCAGCTAGAAGTACTCTTTCCACGCTGAAACTCTGGATGTTACTGAAACCTTCCTTCCTTGATAGCTGGTGTGGACGCCACTATTGGCAGCCTACAGCATCGGACTCCAGAACTGTGACGACACTGAAGTGGCCTCCTTGTGTTTGGAAGGTATCCGATGTGCAATCCGAATTGCCTGCATCTTTGGAATGCAGGTAGGTGTTAAGTCAGCAGCGCTCCAGAGATACTGGTGGGTTGTGTTCTTTTAGATTTGGCAAAACTTAGAAATGATCAGAAATTTTCAGTTAATCAAGAGTCTTAGCAAACTACTTACTCATGCCTACTGACAAGAAATCCATAGCTTTGTGATGACAGCTCATTAGGGGCAAAAATGGAGATACGGATTAAAACTGTCTTTAAGAATGGGTAGGCTGGGCACGGTGGCTCACGCCTATAATCCCAGCACTTTGGGAGACCGAGGCAGGCAGATCACCTCAGGTCGGGAGTTCGAGACCCGCCTGACCAACATGGAGAAACCCCGTCTCTACTAAAAATACAAAATTAGCCGGGCGTGGTGGTACGTGCCTGTAATCCCAGCTACTCGGGAGGCTGAGGCAGGAGACTGGCTTGAACCCAGGAGGTAGAGGTTGCGGTGAGCCGAGATTGCACCATTGCACTCCAGCCTGGGCAATAAGAACGAAACTCCATCTCCAAAAAAAATAAGGACAGGTAGTGTCCAAGCTACTTGACTGGCTTAGACAAAACAGACTTCCTGTTCATCTGCCTAAGTTGCCTGCTTTGGTGCTTAAAAATACTATTTTCTTGTTGTTGTTGTTGTTTTTTTTTTTTTTGAGATGGAGTCTCGCTCTGTCGCCCAGGCTGGAGTGCAGTGGAGAGATCTCGGCTCACTGCAAGCTCTGCCTCCTGGGTTCATGCCATTCTCCTGCCTCAGCCTCCCGAGTAGCTGGGACCACAGGCTCACACCACCATGTCTGGCTAACTTTGTATTTTTTAGTAGAAACAGAGTTTCACCATGTTGGCCAGGCTGGTCTCGAACTCCTGACCTCGTGATCTGCCCGCCTCGGCCTCCCAAAGTGCTGGAATTACAGGCCTGAGCCACCGTACCCGGCCAATAGTATTTTCTTTTTAACATCAGTTTTTATAATAATTTCCCATATTTCCAACTCCTCCCTGAAGAATATGAATATGTCTGTAAACCTTTTGAAACTTGAAAAGTTCAAGCAAATAAATGTAATTCTGAAACTGTTATGAAATTAGGAGGTTGGCAATCCCATGCATCACTTTGTAAGTCAGAAGTTGCACCCCATTTATTCTTACAAACTCAATCTTCTGTTCCCATTCATTTTGCAGTTAGACATTTTCTTTTATACCAAGACCACAAGCTTTGAAGTTAGACCATCTAGTTTTCAAACCCCTGCTCTGCCCCTTCTCCAACCATGTGACACTGGCTCACCTAATGTCTCTCCAAGACACCAATTCACTTCCTCATTTGTAAACTTGAGAAAACAGACCTGCCTGTCAGAATTGTTGCAGATGTCAATGTATATGACAGTCTTAGCATTCAACAGACATAGTGGAACATGGGCCAGGTAAGTTTGACTGAAGTCAATTAGAAAGGAGAGAGCTGCTTCTCAAACATGTGGCAGTGCATAGATAGCCTCTGCAAGATGTTCCAAAAGCAAGAGGGCATTAGCATGGAATAACTGTTGTGCTAATGTGCAGAAAGCCAGTCAATGTGCATACAAAAGGTATCAGAGAAGCCCAGTGTGCCAGCCCTGCAGATGTGAGAATGGCCACACTACGGTTGGAGTCACAGTGTTCTCTCTTTGGCTTCTGTTACAGCTGGAACGAGATGCCTATGTTCAGGCTCTTGCTCGCTTCTCCCTGCTCACAGCCAGCTCCAGCATCACAGAAATGAAGCAGAAAAACATCGACACCATTAAGACACTTATCACAGTGGCTCACACCGATGGCAACTACCTTGGGAATTCCTGGCATGAGGTATGTGTCTCTTTGAATTGCCTTTTCTCAGTTAGGATGACTCCTGGCTTCTTTTCTTCATTGTTGATCTAATTTGGTCAGTTCCGTTTTTCTTGAAGTCAAGCCTCACTGTGCCTCGTGTATCTGAAAGTCACCCTCTCTGGGGCTATGAAAGGTGGGGGTGAGTTCAGGTGCACCAGCTCACAGTGAGCACCCTTGCACCCAGCAGCCAGTGTCCCCCATGAAGTGTACTTCTGTTGTTGCAACTTTCTTTCCATATTAGCGCCACTTTTTTTTGTTTTGTTTTGTTTTTTAGTCCTTATGGACCTCTTGGGAGCTTGGGAGCTCCTATCATCAATGTGTAATTTTAAGACAAAGCTAGGAGCCTGATTAGAAATGGTTGACAGTCACGATGAGCTGTTAGGGAGAGTGCCAGTGAGTTCACTCATTTTTAAAACAGTATTCTAAGATTCTCACGCAAGGATATAGTTACTTATGCGTACAACAATGTATTTAAAAGGATATTTGCTGCAGTTTTAGTTTTTCTGGGGAAAAGGGCTAAAAAGAGCTAGATGTCCCAACAATAGAAGACATTGCTACTTCTTTAAAAAGGTATGGTACAGCATTTTTTAGAATGTTATGTGGCCATCTAAAATAATGTTGTGGAAAAGAAAGACAGGCAGATAGTGTATGCTCTCTGATGGAAGTACACAATACTACCTAAGAAATGTTCTAGCCCCAACTCAAATGTGAATCGATTCAAGCCTATATTGCCAGTTTATAGGAAATATAGTGGACAGAGAAACATGTTAGATACGAGGGTGCAGCTTGGAAATTCTAGGTGTGACAGACCTGCAGAGCAGATGACCAGGTTTTTCAGCAAATAGATTGCAAGAAAAATAAGTGGAAGAGAGGAGGGTTCCCTAGGAATTAAAAGAGATTTCAGAAAAGAAGATAAAAGATGGTATTAAAGACTATTGTGGGAAAATGGTCACAATAAAATTACAAGTTGTTATAAGACATTGCGAGGCATTGTCTCTCGTGGCAAAATACACAGAGAATGAAGTTTGAAAGGACAGACCAAAGCGTTAACATTCTGTCTGAGAGAGAGAATTATGGAAACTGTTTTGTTCTTTTTTTTTTCTTAATTTCTAATTTTTTCTACCATCTGCATGTATTACTTTTTTGTTTAGAGAGAAAACTGTGAAAGAATAGAGATGAGGCTATGAAGAATGTAAAGGACAGTTTGACATAGAAAGAAAATTGCTGTCATCCTTCTTCCCCATGTGGACCACATGGCTCAGAGTAAAGGCCCTAGAGCCCGGCAACTGGGGTCCGATTTGGGGCTCCACCTCTTCCTGCCTGGATGGCGTAGGCAGGTTACTTAGTCACCGAGTCCCACCTTCTTCATCTCTACAATCTTTATAGGGTGGTTGTGAGAATGAACAGGGCTTGGGACTATTTGGCAAGTAGTTAAGAATTCAATAGTGTTACCTGCTGTCATCTCTGTGGCACATGGCTTTGCCCCTCTTCACCAGCGTTTCCCCTGTCTGTCACAATTCTGAGTAGTCCATGTTAGAAATAACTGAGTTATAGCTGGGCACAGTGGCTTACACCTGTAATCCCAGCACTTTTGGAGGTTGAGGCAGAAGGATTGCTTGAGGCCAGGAGTTCCAGGCCAGCCTGGGCAACATAGCAAGACCCCATATCTTAAAAAAATTTTTTTTAAATTAGCTAGGCATGCTGGTGCATGCCTGTAGTCCCAGCTACTCAGGAGGCTGAGGCAGCAGGATTGCTTGAGCCCAGGAGTTCAAAGCTGTAGTGAGTCATGATTGCACTACTGCACTCCAGCCTGGGCAACAGACCAAGACCTTGTCTCTAAAAGAAAAAAATACATATTTTGAGTTGTGTGCTTTTAAAAATCATTTCCTGCCTTCTAAGGAGCCATAATACCTAGACAATCAATGAATAGTTGCTTTTTCTTCTAAAACATTTTTTTAGCCTGGGAGATATTATCAATATGAGGTTCCTGCTGCCTGCCAAGTATATGGCAGAATCTAGAAATGTTAAAAACTAATTAGCTACCTCTGTGGTTGTCAGAAGCCCTGAGAAATCAGCTTGGAACTAATAAGCCCTTGACCTTTCAGTATTGGTGACACACTTGAGATTCCAGCTGTCCACAGCTTCTGCAAAAGGGACAGCATTACTAGCTTACTAATAATAATTTAATAGTATCATGCTGTGTGAAGAAATCAGGGGATGATTCTCCTTTGGTGGAATTAAGTCTATTTCTCAGTCAAGAGGAAAGCAATTTATAAGTAAAGATACTCGACACTGCTCAGTGGTATAGTGGAGTATACTGGACGCCTGGACCCTGGGACTGAATTGTAAGGTAAGCGTAAAAAGCAACACTGAGGTTCAATGAGAAGTTCCCATGAAAATTCCGTAGGGTTTCCCTGGAGGTCTACGTGCCATTCCTCAGTAAGTTTCATGTAGCCAGTGTTTCCTCTGACAGAAGTTGGGACTAGTTTCTCTTTCTACGGCTGAGCTTCAGGTGGGAGAGGGCCCGTGTGCAGATGTGCGACCTCAAGCACCAGAGGTGCCCCTCAGGACCAGGAGATCCAGCCTCATCTCCCACTGCATGCCTGCTGTACAGCATATTCTCATTCCTTTAGTTAAACCAATTAACGATTGCCAATGATTTTAAGTGCTAGGGACTTAAGTGTTCAGCAGTGAACAAGACAGAGTTAATGTCCTCTTGGCATCTAAGGCAGGAAACAAATAAATATATGGTCTAATGCCAAAAAGTGGTACTAAGAAAAAAGAAGTATGAGCAGTGCATGGTAATGGGAAGGTATGCTCTCACAAGAAAGATCTCTCTGAGAGGGACACACGTGTCTGAGCTGGGAATTGAAGGAGTGAGCCATGGGGAGACAACATCCCAGGCATAAGGAGCAGTGAGTGCAAAGGCCCTGGGGTAGGACAAGAGATGACAAGTTAAAGGAGCAACACTGAGGCCAGTGAGGCTGGTATCTTGTCGTCTCATGAGGAGAGTGGAAAAAGGAGGTGGGGGTGACTAAATGATGTGCCTATTAAGTGGCATGGTGGGAGGAATTCCCCCGCCCCAGTCAAATGCTTTTTCTCTCTTTATTGAGAGTTGCTAAATTTGCATAAACATCTATATGGCATAACTCCATTGAACCAACTTTTTTTTAACGACTAACTTAAGATTACAGTGCCCTTTTTCTAGCTGTAAGGTGGGAACTCATTTCTTCATACCTTCTTTCTCTTAGATCTTGAAATGCATCAGCCAGCTGGAGCTCGCTCAGCTGATAGGAACTGGTGTGAAGACGCGCTACCTGTCTGGATCCGGGCGTGAAAGAGAAGGGAGCCTGAAGGGCCACACATTGGCAGGAGAAGAGTTCATGGGCCTTGGCCTCGGTAAGACACCAGGCCCCCCAGCTGACAGTCACAGATTTGCAAGCTAATGGGGATGAAACCCTTCTTGTCTCGTCAGGACTGTCATGTAAACCATCTCTTCTTTTTGTGCCATCTGACAGTGTATTCATGAATGCAAGTGGACATGCTGCTTCAGCTCCCTTAATTGTGATTAAACTGTTGAGTAGAATGTCTATTTTACCAAAGTCAGTAGGGTGCATTACTTTTCTTTATATACCTGTATTGGGGAGAAAAACTATTTGCTTTAAAATGACCAAATCTCTAGTGACTGGCATTAGAGGGGTGTGTATTTGTGTCTCTAGATTTTAAAGGGTAGATTCAACATTTCTTCCATCTTTATTGGGGGGGGGCTTGTATTAGACAGTATTCTTATGCAAGTAGAATTATTTCTCTGGCTATACATTGGATTGAGAGACTCTTCTGATAGATGTAACATAGTAATAATAGTAAATAGGGCAAACAAATGTGCCACATCATATTCTGAGCACTCAGTTTATATATTTTGACTAATTTCATGCTCATAACAATCCAATGAGAACAGGGACTGTTACCTTCCCAATTTTGTAATTGAGAAAACTGAGGCATGGGGTGAAAAAATATGAGCAACATCATACTGCAAAGGAGTGTCAGTGGTAGGATTCAAGCCCCAAGCCATCCAACTACAGAGTGTACGCTTCTAGGTCCCATTTAATGAATGGAATAGTACACTGTCATGGTTAAAAGTATGGACTGGAAAATGGGGAATTGTAATAGCATGCACTTCTTAGGGTACTCGTGAGGATGAGTGGAATGAAATTCTGTGAAGCGCACCAAGCATTCAGCAGGTGTGAGCCATTGCATGTTCTAGGAGCTCTGGATTAGTATCAGTTGATTCCAATTTGTTTTCCTAAATATAGGCCTTTAATACTACAAAAAGGTAAAAGATTATAGAGAAAGATAGATGGCTGGTACAAACAAGAAAGCTTATACTAAGGATATGTTTTAAATGCCAAATGCCAAAACATAACTTTACTTTTATCATCAGTGGGTTTTTGTTTGTTTTTTGAACTTGCAGAATCTTTCCCATTTATGTCCTGTGTCCCTGCACGTTGACATAACAGGATGCTTTGTTCTAAATACTTGACTGTTTTTGAAGTACTGCTGATGTTGTGCATTGTGTTTCAGGTAATTTGGTGAGTGGTGGAGTGGATAAAAGACAGATGGCCAGCTTCCAAGAATCGGTTGGTGAGACCAGCTCACAGAGTGTAGTTGTAGCTGTGGACAGGTAATGATTTTATTCTTCAGTGACCCTGAACTACCCAGTGGTTTGGTGGCCTCTCTGTAGTTACTGGACATGAATGATTCCTAATTTGTTTAACTGATACAAGTGTTGTTAGCTACAAATTGCCTAAGCGTCACATTTATTTGCATTTTGACCTTTTAGAAAAGTTATAACTTTAACATTGTGACAAATTATGTCAAAAATAAGAGTTTATATTGATATTTAAGTTACCTTGTTTCCTTAGTAGAGATTATTTTTTTAAAAATCGCAAGAAGAGTTTGGGATTAAAAGCCTACCCGTGCTCACGCCTGTAATCCCAGCACTTTGGGAGGCTGAGGTGAGCGGATCACGAGGTCAGGAAATTGAGACCATCCTGGCCAACATGGTGAAACCCTGTCTCTACTAAAATACAAAATCAAAAAAATTAGCCGGGCATGGTGGCACATGCCTGTAATCCCAGCTACCGGGGAGCCTGAGGCAGGGGAATATCTTGAACCCAGGAGGCAGAGGTTGTAGTGGGCCAAGATCGTGCCATTGCACTCCAGCCTAGGCGACAGCGTGAGACTCTATCTCAAAAAAAAAAGAAAAAAAAAGCCTACCCACGAATGAGAGTTGGCTGAGTTGACAGGTACCTTTTTTTTTTCTTTCCCCTCAAAACTTTTCTATTATTTCTCTTTACTCAAAACTTGACCTAAAACTCCAGGAGAGATATTTCCCATAAAGAAGCTTCGTACTTATTAACAATCACTCTCCATTTCCTTTTCTTTCCTTCTCCCATTCCTTAGTCACTGTAACCTGATCTACAGATTTGCCTGTTCTGGACATTGTCTCATTGTCCATCTTTCCCTTTTTATTTTATTATTTTAATATCATATTCTATTAACCACGTGGTTTCCTTATACCAACATCTTTCCCTTTAATTCTATCCTTTTTTGACTCATGTATGTTGCCTCTGTTGTTAAGTGCCTATAATGTCATGTCTTTTTTGTTCCCGTCTTCTCCATTATTATGGCCTTCTTTGTGTTAAATAGATATTTTCTAGTATATCATTTTACTTCTGGTCATTTCTTTTACTGTATCTTATGTATTGATTGATTAATTGATTGATTGAGACAGTCTCGCTCTGTCACCCAGTCTGGAGTGCAGTGGTGCGATCTTGGCTCACTGCAACCTCTGCCTCCCAGGTTTAAGCGATTCTCCTGCCTCAGCCTCCCAAGTAGCTGGGATTACAGGCATGCACCACCATGCCCAGCCAATTTTTATATTTTTAGTAGAGACAGCGTTTCACCATGTTGGCCAGGCTGGGCTCGAACTCCTGACCTCAAGTGATCTACCTGACTTGGCCTCCCAAAGTGCTGGGATTATAGGCATGAGCCACTGCACCTAGGCTTCCCCGTCTTTTGATGTGTCACTTTCTCTTCTGCTCACTATAGGCTTTTCTGCTTTCAACTCAGTTCACTTTCCTTGAACTGTTCTATACTTCTAATACCACATCGTTTATTTCGGTGGAGGTGTCAGACCTGATGTTTCCTCTCTGCCTTGTCTGAGAGTTTGAGAAACTTCATCTTACAAATCTAATTAAAAAGAAAACTGTGTGACCAGAGGTCATCTGGCTTTTATGCCCAGTGCTAAGACAGAAGCAGAATTGCCCTCAGGCTACCAAATCTAATGTTTGTTTTTAATTTGTTTATTTTTTCTGTTTTGAGACAGAGTCTGGCTCTGTTGCCCAGGCCGGAGTGCAGTGGCGCAATCTCAGCTCACTGCAACCTCTGCCTCCGAGTTCAAGCGATTCTTCTGCTTCAGCCTCCCAAGTAGCTGGGATTACAGGTGCCCGCCACCACGCCCGGCTAATTTTTTGTATTTTTAGTAGAGACACAGTTTCACCATGTTGGCCAGGCTGGTTTTGAACTCCTGACCTCAAGCGATCCACTCTCCTCGGCCTCCCAAAGTGCTAAGATTACAGGTGTGAGCCACCACACCCGGCCTAATGTTTATTTTGTCTGGAATTATCTTCCTAGAATTTTTACTGGATCTACCAGACTGGATGGAAATGCAATAGGTATGTATTTGACTTACCTGTGACAACTGCAGAAGCCTCATGCTGTGACCGTCTGACTGTTCCTAACGAGGCTTTGCGTGTGTTGTTGGGTCTGGCCTGTAGTTGACTTTGTCCGCTGGCTGTGTGCTGTGTCCATGGATGAACTGGCTTCCCCCCACCATCCTCGCATGTTCAGCTTGCAGAAGATTGTGGAGATATCATACTACAACATGAATCGGATCCGACTGCAGTGGTCTCGAATATGGCATGTGATTGGAGATCACTTCAATAAGGTAACTCTTCAAATTTAAAAACCATTCCTGTTTAAAAAAAAAAAAAAAAGTGATAAATAATTTGCCCAGTCTTTTAGATGCCTCTAATTCATTTTCCCTGTGGAGTCAAGGACAGCTTGATAGGAATAGTATCACACTTACATATTGGTAGAATTCATGTAGAATGAATTAAAAATTCAGTGGTATTGAAAATACTTTAATATCCCACATGCAGGATGTTGGCTAAGACTACAAAGATTATTACAGTCACTGGACAAATACACTGATGCTTGCTTGGAAGCATTGTGAAATGAAATCCAGAAAGGCCTTTTAAATAACCTAATGTTAAGTTACGTTCCAGGTAGTTTCACTCTTCAGTGTCACTGCTTCTTGTACTCTGGCACCCATTGCCACCATTCTTCTGAAACTTTTGTTGAAAAAATTAATATTTGGGCCAGGCACGGTGCCTCACGCCTGTAATCCCAGCACTTTGAGAGGCCAAGATGGGTGGATCACGAGGTCAGGAGTTCGAGACCAGCCTGGCCAACATAGTGAAACCCCGTCTCTATTAAAAATACAAAAAAATTAGCCAGGCATGGTGGTGTCTGCCTATAATCCCAGCTAATAGGCTGAGGCAGGAGAATCGCTTGAACCTGGGAGACAGAAGTTGCAGTGAGTCGAGATTGCACCACTGCACTCCAGCCTGGGCAACAGAGCAAGACTCCGTCTCAGGAAAAAAAAAAAAAAATTAATAATTGTTTTTAAATCAGTAACAAGCCAAAGACACGTCTGGGTTCTAAAACTGACAACTGTTGGGTATAAACCAGACTGAACTTCTTCCTTGTTATCAGAGGTTTTATTATATACATACAGATATATGCACACATGTTGAATAAATAAAATGTCAGATATGTGTTTTATCACAGCAAAAAAAACTGGGAACAAAGTGATCAAAAGAAATTTACGTGGCTGGGGACGGTGGCTCACGCCTGTAATCCCAGCACTTTGGGAGGCCGAGGCGGGTAGATCACGAGGTCAGGAGATTGAGACTGTCCTGGCCAACACCGTGGAACACCGTCTCTACTAAAAGTACAAAAATT